CCAGCACGAGGTAAGATTATCTGTTTATATCCAATAAATCATTTGTTTTTTCTTTTGTTTTATAAATGAATTAGTGTATATAAATTCTGAATATTTTAAAATGAACAAAATTTAAAAGATGACTGTAATTTTAAGGAGATTTCTGATCGGTCAAAATAGTATGTACTTGACGTGGTACGTTAGGTGTTTGTTACATAAATATTTGTACTTGTGGCGGTACGTTCGGTCTATATTACAAGTTCACCTCCTAGAAAATTAAAATAAAAACTATTTTTGACGTGTTCAGTTGACAAAAATGTTAAATTATAGCCTATTAACATTTATTTTGATCTCTTATACTTGACTGTGATTTCGCTATATAATGTCATATAAGTAGTACGTAAGGAAGATTGTTTGCAAATTTCAGCGTTTTCTATTTTATTTAATAAGTAGTTATAGTGATGCCGTTATTCTCTGATTAAGATAAGATAATGGCCTAAATTGTCATTGAGGCTGAGTTTTTAATTGTTTTTTTTAATGAAGATTGTTTACGTTGTAATAAAATGATGTTAAGAGAAAAAATTTGTTTTGTTTCGATACTAAATATTTTTTTTAACTTTTATAACATTGTTTTATTACACGGTGTAAAAACCTAATGTACTCACACAAGTACAAAATATTTTCAATAAATTTCTTCTTAAAAAGGTGCTTTACATAATAAACATACCGTAAAAAATACAGACAACAAGACCTCACTTCAAAAATTACGTATAAGCGTTTTTTCTTGTCTCGGTCTGAAGTACTATTCTTGATTTGTACTTGCTATAGTACATCCGTCAGATATGACTACTGCTGTTAAAAAAACACGGGACTTACGAGGTTAAGTTCGGATGTCCAAAAATAGTTGTATGTGATAACGGTACTCAGTTCACTTCTAGAAATTTTGTAGATTTTCTTAAAGGTTTTAATATTGATAGAATATTTTATAATACTTTATATATGCCTCAGAATAATCCAGTGGAGCGTTATAATAAAACGGTTGAAACTTGCATTTCTTGCTTCGTTCGTGATGATCATAGAACTTGGTCGAAATTTCTTCCACATGTTCAGTTAGCTTTGAATAGTAGTGTTAATTTGGCTACGGAGTTCACTCCAAATTTCCTAATGTTTGGTAGGGAGTTAATTGTTGATGCGTCATTGCACCGTTTTAGTAATTCCTTTGATAATTTAACACAGATCGATCTTGTTGACCGTTCTGCTTTTGCTCATTCACTTTCTTCACTTGAAAGTATTTTTGTTAAAGTTACTGGAACTTTATTTAAAGCATATAAACGTAATGCTTCTTATTATAACAAGCGTCGTGAAGTCACTTCTTATGATGTAGGTGATATTGTTTGGAGGAGGAATTTTGTTCAATCTAGTGCTGCTCATTATTTTTCGGCAAAACTAGCTCCGAAGTTTATTAAATGTAAGATTATTGATAAAATTTCTAATAATGTTTATGTTTTGAAGGATTTGGTTAAAGGTACTTCTGGTCGTTACCATGTTAAAGACATTTTGAAAATTTAAATTGCTTAGCTATTGTTTGGTTAGTTTTGTTAAACATAAACATATCTTTGTGTTTTGACTTTTGTAACTTGGGTAATTGTGGGGATTGTAAGTTGAATTTTTGCGTGAAGTATGTAAGATTTTCCCCTTGTAAGGTGATGAAAGAAAGTGATATTACTCGATTACATTTGACTTTACTCATTGACTTTTTGGTTTTTATTAAATTCAAGTTTTGCCATTGTATTATTTGACTTTGAAATTTTTTTGTAAAATTTAAATTTACGTAGTATGCCTACTTGTTTTCTGCATCATAAGATTTTATAACCTTTTGTTTCATGCAGATGTTTTATCTGTATGGACACATTTTTTATTAGGATTTTATATGTCCTTATTTGTTATTTTTGTACAAACTTATTTGTTGGTACTATAGTTGTGTTTCTGCATGTTTGTTGTTTTATAACAATTTGTTTTGTGTAGAAGTTTGTGTGTGTGATAATTGTTACACCCGGATTTGACATTTTGGAGCTCCCATTTTTCCTTGGATTTGACATCCATGATTTAGACTTTTTTCGTTCAATATTTTTGACGATTTGTTTGGTTTACCACTTTGTTTTGGTAATTTGTTTGCCCATATTTGTGGACATCAATTATTTGTTTTTGCACATCATGTTCGGAAGTTCGGTGGTGTTGTGCCGATCATGAAGTTGCAATTTCGACTTTTTGTTCAACATTGTTGACGCTTTTTTGGTTTTGCCATATTGTTTTGGTATTTTGTTTGCCCATATTTATGGACATCAATTGTTTGTTTTTGTGCTTCATGCTCGGGAGTTCGGTGGAGTTGTGCCGATCATGTAGTTACAACTTTTGTTTTGGGTGCTTCATGTCCGGAAAGTCGTTGGTGTTGAGTCGGCCATGAATGTCACGTTTTGGTTTTCGCCAAATTTTTTGCTGTTTTGACTTTCGTCACTACATTTTTTTTTGTCGAACTGTTTGTTCTCGACGCCTTTTGCACATCTTGTTCGGGAAGCCGGTGGTGTTGTGCCGACCATGATTGTGACTTAAATGAGTTTGTGTCAATTTTGCCACTCATCTCGAACTTTTTGGGGATTTAACTAATAGTACTTGCGACTTTTTAGTATAGCAGTACTGGGGTGGGATTTTTCAGAGTCTGCGACATAGTTGTCTAACAGATCTCCCAAGAGTTGGTAGTAGGAGTAGATTGTAGTTTTCTGTCTGTGACCTAGTTGTCCAACAGACCTTCAGAAATTAATGTTAAGAGTAGTAGAGTAGTAGTTTAAGAAATTTTAGGAGTCTGCGATTTTAATATCCAACAGATCTCACAGGGGTTTAGGTTTTGAAGGAGTTTTAGTTTAGGAAATTTTAGAGTCTGCGACTTAGATGTCCAACAGATCTCACCAGGGTTTAGTTAGAGTAGTTTGAATTTAGAGATTTTTTAGAGTCTGCGACATTTTATGTTCGACAGATCTCAATAATGATGATGATAGTGGTTGAATTTTTTTTGTAGTAAGCTTTGCATATTTTTATTTTAGAGCATTTTGCTTTAGGTTCTTAATAATTTTGGGTCTGTGACTAATTCAGTTTAACAGCTTTTGTTTTGAGACTTGTGACCTTTTGTCCAAGGACTCTATAGTTAGATGATGTTTTGGTATTTGGATAACTTTATTTGAAGTTATTTTCTTTTCACTTTGGGTTTTCGTTTTCATCCATAATTCAACGGATTTCATTTTGGCTTTTAGTATTTGGACTTTAGCTGTAGTTTTTTCAGCCTCGATTCTCGATGCTTTATTCGGGGAAGGGTGAAATGTAACGTGTTAAAAACGTCACATGGATCCCCTTCGCTCGAAGAGCGAGATAGAAGATTTTTTTTGGTTGTCTCTCTGGTCGTTTTTTATCTCGCGCCCATTTTCTTTAATCTGTGCACTTTTGGGTAAGTGTGTTTCTGCCTTTATCAAGCAGTAGGCTGAATGGACATTGTTCTCTTTGCCTACCGCCAAGACAAACTAAGAAAAGAACTGTCACTTCACTTCACGACCAAAATTTTAACCTACAACATGTGAAAATTTAAATCTTAATTTTTATCATGATAATCCATTGGATTTTCAATTGTTTTTGATGGTAAGTGTTTTTCCAAATTCGAAAAGTGTTTTAATCCACATATTTCAATGATTTACCTTAGAATTAATTTCTTTTACAGATATAACATTTTGCAGCTTTTGATCGGAATGGCGGATATCGCATTCCAAGCTTAATTTGTTTAAAAAACGGTAAGAATCTTAGAGTTTTCCTTAGTTTTACTTATTTTCCTTTGTTGTGAGCCATGTGCTAATCTGAGGAATATTTATTTTCAGCGAAAAGCGTTTTTTTTTATTTTGGATTTTATAATGAACTTTCAACATTTCCCATGATGAGAAAGTGAACAGTCCCGTGATGTAACAGCGACATCCATTTAATATTACAATTGACACCAGACATAGCCACTACACAGATGCAACAAGTTCGGTAACTTTCCAAATTCATTGTTGTACCGGAACCCATAAGGTAAAATTTTCATTTACATTTTAGTAGCCATAGTATAATAAGTAGTTTCTAAATTTAGCAGTAACCCTTTTGGACTTAAGTAGTTTTGTAGTAAATTTAAATAAATCGACAACCCAAAATGAATATGGTTTTGCAATCAAGCCTTCTCTTGTGATTAATAGTCCTTTGCTTTCCCGGCTAATATGGTTTAATAATATGGTATGGGTCTGGCGCCCGAGTATTCTTCTTTTTTTCATTAATTTCGACCTATCCATTTAGTAAATTTCTCTCAAACTTTTTATTTTTTAATATTACACAATCTTCTTATTACAACTTAATTTCATTAACATTTTCCTCGAATAATCTTCTTCAAAATATTAAAGTAGGAAAAAAACACTTAAATTGTGATATTAGGTTTCCATTATGTTCCTTACTACTTTTTTGAAGATCCCTCAGGAACCTAACAATTTTCCGGGATAAAAAGTACCCTTTGTTTCAATCTAGGTCATAAGCTATATGCGTACCAAATTTCATCCAAACCCGTTCAGTAGATGGCGGATTGGCGGGTGCTAACGAGTATGTGTGCTAAATTTAATTGAAATCGCACAACAGTTTTGGCATGATCGAATAACAAACATAGGAGAACTGTCACATCCTTACTAATATTATAAATGCGAAGGTGTGTGTGTCTGTCTGTCCGTCTGTTACCTCTTCATACTGTATATTCATACTTCATAGTGTTAGTAGTGGTTTAACCACTACAGAATTAGATGAAATTTGGTGTGTATAGATAATTTGAGTCCCGGGAAAGACCGTAGTATAGATTTATCCCAGAAATCACTCTAAAGGAAATACTTAAAGAAACTCGATTTAATTATTTAGAATGAATAAGATGCTAGTCTCCAGTTATTATAAATGTATTATTCTATACCTAGGATCGCCCGTAGCCTGTGTAAGCGGGACGGCGCTTGATTTAACGCAAGTGTCCAGTGAAGCCGCGCGAGCCGTCATATCCGCCGCCGCTCATATCAGAGACCCCGCCGCTGTCGATCTGCCGGCCACAATGTTGCTGACGCAGGTGAGTTTATACTTATATATATGCGTTCATATCATCATCATATCAGCCCATTAATGTCACCTCCTGCTAGACTATGTCGTCCTGGTACTTACTCTATACGTAATATTAGTATTCGACGCCGCTCATATCAGAGACCCCGCCGCTGTCGATCTGCCGGCCACAATGTTGCTAATGCAGGCGAGTTTATACTTATATATGCGTTCATATCATCGTCATATCAGCCCATTAATGTCACCTCCTGCTAGACTATGTCGCCCTGGTACTTACTCCAAACATAGTATTAGTATCCGCCGCCGCTCATATTAGAGACCCCGCCGCTGTCGATCTGCCGGCCACAATGTTGCTGACGCAGGTGAGTTTATACTTATATATGCGTTCATATCATCATCATATCAGCTTATTAATGCCACCTCCTGCTACTGTATGTCGTCCTGGTACTAACGCCATACATAATATTAACATCATATCCACCGCCGCTCATATCAGAGACCCCGCCGCTGTCGATCTGCCGGCCACAATGTTGCTAATGCAGGCGAGTTTATACTTATTTATGCGTTCATATCATCATCATATCAGCCCATTAATGTCACCTCCTGCTAGACTATGTCGTCCTGGTACTTACTCCATACATAATATTAGTATCCGCCGCCGCTCATATCAGAGACCCCGCCGCTGTCGATCTGCCGGCCACAATGTTGCTAACGCAGGCGAGTTTATACTTATATATGCGTTCATATCATCATCATATCAGCCCATTAATGTCACCTCCTGCTACACTATGTCGTCCTGGTACTTACTCCATACATAATGTTAGTATCCGCCGCCGCTCATATCAGAGACCCCGCCGCTGTCGATCTGCCGGCCACAATGTTGCTAACGCAGGCGAGTTTATACTTATTTATGCGTTCATATCATCATCATATCAGCCCATTAATGTCACCTCCTGCTAGACTATGTCGTTCTGGTACTTACTCCATACATAATATGAGTATTCGCCGCCGCTCATATCAGAGACCCCGCCGCTGTCGATCTGCCGGCCACAATGTTGCTAACGCAGGCGAGTTTATACTTATATATGCGTTCATATCATCATCATATCAGCTCATTAATGTCACCTCCTGCTACTCTATGTCGTCCTGGTACCTACCTTATACATAATATTATATACTCATCATATCAGTCTATTTATGTCAGCTCCTGACGAAAGACGAAGAGAGGTAAAAACACTATGTCTCAATCGTAGAGATAACTATGATGATAAAGTCGAATCATCATAAGCCTATTAATGTCTCCCACTACTGGGCGCAGGCCTACCCTATGGATGGAATAGGGAGAATGGGCCATGACCCACCACCCGGGCTCAGTGCGGATTGGCGAGTGTGCTAACGACTGCAGATGCAGCCGGGACCAACGGCTTAATTTGTCTTCCGAAGCAAGGAGGAACTCGAGATAGATGATTTTTGGCCACCCATTTAATGACCGACCACTGCGAAAGTTGCTTAACATCGACGATCGCAGCACAAACGCGCTAGCCACCTATGCCATCGAGCTCCTCTAAAGTCGAATAAATACCAGATATAGAGGTTTGCTTTGTTCCACTAAGATGCCTTCTTCACCGAGTCGGTGCGGGCTCGTATCGTTTTCATTGCTGTACCGAATCTGTGCAGATAGTTTACCGAAAAACACTTCTTGACCGATTCGGTTTCGGACGAGTTGAATGGTTCTGTAGGAAGCCCAAAGGGGAAGATCTTCCTCCGAGCTGGATGATGGTAGCTCAGGAGCCGCGGCCCCACAGATGTTGGACCGGCATTGTATATATGGAGTTGTGGGTAACCCACTACATATTTATTCACAACGCATATAAATAAAACACATATTTTATAAATTAATATACTAAAATAAAGTACTTATAAATAATACATAATATTACAGTATCTATAAATAATATAATAAAACAGTTATAGAAAACATATTAATAATATATACAAATACCTTACACAATACACACAATAAAATTATATACATTAGATAAACATAAGTTACATACACAACATAAAATAAATTAAATATCAACGAAATAAAATATTATGTTAACACGCATGTTTCTTTAATGTATATAATTTTATTGTCGAATATCACATATTTTATATGTGTTGTGAATAAATATGTAGTGGGTTCCCCACAGAGTGTTAACCTCCGAATTTCACTTGCGCGATGTAGGCTTTCTTACTATTGTGATCGCAGTGCAGGTAGTGCCATCTCTTGAGGAGGCGAGTCATTATTTCCTCCATGTTAGTTATATGTGGAGCATGTAGATGTCGCCGCCCCAGTTCGGTAGTACTTGGCAGCCCTCGGTAGCACTCGGCACAGAGATCTGTGTATCCGCTCGATAAAGAATCTACATTTTCGGTGCAGAAACGGTAACGAAACGTTAGCGTACCGATCCGGTGATAAAGGCGCATAACAGAGTTACTTCATTGCCAATTCTTCGGGAGCTCAGTATAATTTCCAGCCATGTACGTTTCTCACTAATCAAGTTTCACTGTATTAAATTTGGTATTCGATGAAATTATAGTATTTTTTTTTCTTTACAGGATCTAGCATTGAAGCTGGGAATCAACCTTCACACCCTTTGCTTACCTCACGTTAACGCTTCCCAAGAGATTCTCAAAGCGATACACGCGTTCAGTAATTTCAGTCTCCTTTCCGGTCATACTTCCCCTGTCACGCCAGGATCGCCCTTACACCAAATAACAGAAGGCCTAAGTTACCTTCACACCGGCTCAATAACAAGGGGAACCCCCCAACCTAGCGCCACACCTTTAGACCTAAGAAGTAACGTAGAAATGGACACACAACCATACCCACAACTACACCCAATGGTACATCCCCAATTACACCTGGTTACCCACAGGTCTTTGAATAACTCCCCGATTTCGAATCCTGGGTCACCTTTAGGTATGATTCAGGAAGAAACAGGAAACGGGCAAAATGGCGACCCTAAATTTTTCACACAAGAAATGACGAGAAGTTTACAGCAGCAATTCCAGAATTATATATCCACGCATCCTCAGATCAGTCTGACTGATTGTTTAGGCTCAGAAATAACTCTTGTAGCTTCTTCTTCGGAAGACAGTATGGACAGTTTAGAAAACACAAAATATTCCTTGCCACAATTCGTGATTTCCGAACCAGCTGATTTAGATGACAGGCCGTCTATAACTAAAGGCATAGGAAGGAAAATAAGCCAAGAAACTGAATCGGCGCCTGTGGAACCACCCAAAGATTTAGACTTGCATTTAGACAAAGACGCTGAAATGCAGTCGCCTAAAGAAAGCGTCGATGAGACCAACAAGTTCTTAAGCGAAGACTTGAAGTACTTGAGGCGGGGTAGCGATAAATCTTTAGGTTTTAGCGACGATTCACTAAGCAACGATTCGGCAAATGCGTCGCCGAACTGCGAGCAAAACGTGCATTCCATATACTCGAACATTGTGTCCATAAGCTCTGGCTTCAGCGAAAATCGGGGTAGCTTTTCTGAACATAGGGAGTCTTTCTCGTTCTCTGATAGGGGTAGTTTCTCGGAAAGGGGGGATTTTGGGAGATCTTCGATTTCCGAAAGAAGCGATTATGGTAGAGGGAGCTTTTCCGAAAAGGGGGAGACGCCTAGGTCTTCGTTCTCCGCCCAAGGGACTTTAGGAGAGGTGAAAGAGTTTTACGAGGATTCTTATATGCCCAGAGATAACAGTAGACATTGCTTAGAGAAATGCGACGAAGAAGGCCCGCCAGGGAGCGAAGAAATAGAGAAATTGCAGAGGTCTACGATGGACTTGCGATTGACCGAAGTCTGCAGACCTGAAGTACAAAAAATACCCATTTTGCTGAGCCCGCAGAAGGTCTGCGTAATGCAAGAGTATTACGAAGTGACTTTATCAACTGTTTGCTCACAATTGGACTCGCAAAGCATAGTGGAGCTACTGAAAGATGCCATAAACAGTAGAGTACCGCCGCAAAATATCTTCGTGGAAACCAACGACCAGAAGGATAGTGAAGAGGAAGCGTTGACTGGTTTCCTAAATCTAGAATATTCTGGTGGCATCCAGATTGAACTGGTTGTCTGTGAAAACAAGGCGAAAGAGAAAAAAGGTCTGAAGATGAGGAGGATATCCGGAGACCAGCGGGAATATGGCAAACTGTGCCAGCAGCTGATCACCAGCTTGACAGTTTAACGACAGGTGTCAATTTGACAGTTCTGAGGCTGTTGGTATTGGCCACTTTGTTTTGAGAGATTTATGAGGTGTCCCTTATAGTAGGAGAGCCCAAGCTCGGATTTTTGGATTTACTCGAGCGCGATAGAATAACATATGGGGAGCAACCTTGTACGTAGTTAAGTACTCCCACTATACCTGAACCCTCTATGTAGGGCCGAACGTCTAGGGCAGCAAAAACAAAGTTTCAACAAACGGACAAGACTTTTGGTCGGGTCCAAATCGTCAGTCTTTTGAATAGGAGCTTCTCGAGGGTTCACGTAACATCCCTTTTCAATGTCTGACGTACGGCCACCCCCATATCATGCAAACCGCGGCAGATCAATATTTTTTCCGTTCTTAGAAACGTTACATGAACCCTCTAGTAGCTTATATTCAAAATACTGATGATTTGGCCGCGACCAAAAGTCATGGCCGTTTGTCCAAATTTTGTTTTTGCTGCCTGTTGTAGACGTTTGGCCCTACAAAGATGGCTCAGGTATGGTGGGAGTACTTAACTACGTACAAGGTTGCTCCCCATATGTTATTCTGCCGCGCTCGAGTAAATCCAAAAATCCCAGCTTGGGCTCCCCTACTATTAGAGAAATCCTTTGGTTGATTCGACAAGGGACACCCCTTCAATACTTTGAGTGATCCACCATTAAGTTTTTGATATCTGTGCATGTGTAGCCGTTACCAGTGTTGGGCAAAATCATATTATAATTAATTTAAATCTTCACACAATCATATACGTGGGGCACTCAGAAAGATCTGAGAAACTAAAAAACTGACTTCAATGAATTTTTTTTTTATTAAATCTTTTCAAAGAACTCCACCAGCCTCTGTTCAAAGTTTCATGCGTCTGAATCAATTTTCAAAAAAAAAATCTGGTCCTCCGCAGACAACTCTTCAACGGCCTTCTCAAACGCTGCTAGCGCTTCTTACGGCGATGAAAACTGTATCCCTTTGAGCTGATTTTTTATTTTAGGGAATAAAAAGAATTTTATTCTGACGAAGCAGACCTGAAAAGGCTGCGAAACGTCAATAAATAAAAAAATGTGTGCGTGTACTAGTGTACACACGTAAGAAGTGAAACTTCTTTATGGCCTTATTTTTCGAAAAATGATCTACATGCAACTTTCCAGAAATTGGTTAAATAAAGTTAAATTAGATAAAGTTTAAACAAAAGGATTTTATTATCATAGACATGAATACAAATTACTGCCTATGAAACTGTTATGATTACACGGCTCAGTAATCTAAGGCACATGTTCCACCTCCGACGATGAACGATAAGCGAGTAGAAACTAGAAACGAATTGGCAGTCCTGAGTTAAAATGCACGCGCACGGCTTTTGACAGCCAAGCCAGCTTAACCGAGCGAGTATAGCTGAGCGAGTATCGCTGAGCTAGTATCGCTGAGCGAGTATCGCTGAGCTAGTATCGCTGAGCGAGTATCGCTGAGCGAGTATCGCTGGGCGAGTATCGCTGAGCGAGTATCGCTATGCGAGTTTGGCTGAGCGAGTCTTATCTTTAATAACTATTGTCACTCAGCTACAAATGTTAAGAGAGAGTTCTCGCCGGCGACAGTGTGATCATTCAGCTATCAACTATTAATATAAAAAAAGATGGCGCGTAACGGAAAAATGTGACGCGTAACCGAAAAATGTGACGGTAAATTTTTTTCCAACGCCGATAAAGAAGTTTCACTTCAATAAAGTTACGTGCATTACCCCGTTAAAACTAGTTTTATTGAATAAAAAGAAGTCACACGGAGCCAAATCAGGACTCTATTTTTATTCGCAATACTTTCTGAGTGGCCTGGTACGTTAAAAAAAACATAGTATCATTATAATTGGGTAAAATTCTATACAATGATGATTTTTCTGTCAGCTCATTAAGCTATAAAATATAATTTAAATTACTTACGGATGAGTTTTAACGCAAAAACCTTATTTTGAAATTCTGCAATAATAAATCGCAACAATAAGTCATTTACAGAGTATGAAACGGCTGATAATCAATTTTTTATTTAAAAAATTATTCACGACATTAAATCATGAAACAATCAACAATCATAAAAATATGTTATAAACTTAAATATATGATTATAATTGACTAACATAGTCATTCATTAATCATCAAAACTTAACTTTGGTCCAACACTGGTCTTAACTTAATTACTTTGAATTACAGACTTATCTATAAGTCTTACAGATATTATTAAACTTTCCCCCCATCTTGATATGTTGAATATATCTGCAATTAAAGCGTGTATATATTTTCCAATTAATGGTATAGCAAAAATTGCCATTTTGACAGTCGCTGTCAGAGCGTAGTGTCAAGCTTGCAAGGAAGTGATATTGTGCAATATTAGAGGTACCTAATCAAATTAAAAAATATATGATTTGCGTGAATTGATTTAGAGAGAAAAAGCCGTTGCGTATGTATTTCCGATATAATAGGGGGTGATGACGGGGTACAGTAAACGAAATTCTATTTAGTCCGTCAGTTAGATGATCAAAAAATAATGGACACGTATTTTTTCTTTGGGCAATCAACCAAAAAATGACAAAGTTATAGCGCGTCAAAGTTTGGGAGTAGGGGCTCGTGACGTCACTTTTAAGTGAAAATTGTACCAAAACGTGACGTCATGCGACTTTTCAAATCAATATACCTCTGCAATGTTTATATTATATGAAAAAAGAAAAAATACGTGTCCAATACTTTTTGATAATCTACCTGATGAACGAAGAAAAAAAAATAGTCATCATCCCTTTTATTGGATTCTGCTTAATGTGCATTCCATGAGGTGTTGTTTTCGATTAAAATTGAGATGGTTGTGTTTAATTGTCAATTTGTTTGAGTGAAAACCTGGTAATGCGTAAAATCTGGCATGATAACGTAATTTCGGATGCGAGAATGAGAGCAATTGATCTTATATCAATCGCGCTATAGACTGGTTATAATTTATATTCTTTGCGCCTGTTATAACTCTTTTTTTTCTTACAATAACAATGTTTATGGATGTTACGAAACAAACCTTTTTTTTAATAAGTATCCGAAAATCAGCAAGAAAAGATATCTTGTTGATATAAATAAATAATAAAATAATGGTGATGAAATAAAGTGTAAATAAATTATAAATATTTATTATTTCCTTTTTACATATCTGTATATTATGCTGTTTTGTGAGAACGCGAAGTAACATTGAAAAAAAAAATGAAATCTTTAAATAAACAAAATGAATATTTATTCCAAAATTGTAGTCATAATTCCATTAATAATAGTTTTTAAATTAGGTTTAATTTAGTTTGTAGGATGTTGTAAATATACATTTAAGCGGATTTCCTTTGTAATTGTATTTGATACAACCATTTTCCTGGATATATATATTTTGTTTTTCGAAATAATATTGTCGCAATATTATAAATGATAATAATAAAAAGATCATGCATTATTTCTCGTTGTGATATTATTGTAATTATATAATTGTACTGTTAGAGGCTACGTCTATTTGGATATGTGGACACGGTCTTGCCATAATAAAAAAAAATCAAAAGAGTTTTAAGTTGAGGCAACATTGCATGAAAACCATCTGAATTTAGTAGTAACATTTTTTGTGTAGTCAGCAAGAGGTCGAACCACATGTAAGTGTGAAATTGCTCCAACAGACTTTTTAAGCTTTATTTCGCTTGATATAAGAATCACAATCGTATGAGGAAATATGACACTTTGTGGCCTGATTCTGATGTTTGCTGACTGTACAATGAGATAACGAAAGCGTTGAATATTTTCGGAAATTCGGCTTTAATACTATAAAGAAGCATTATAACATCAGTTACTCCGTGATCATGGCGCTTGCAATAGTGCCGAAATATCGGAAACTCACTAAGTACATGGTAACAATCCCGTAAATAACTTATATTGCAATAATGTTAGTGACCATGAAAATTTAAAACAATATATTATAAAGAAGCAGTTTATTGAGTACGGTATGAGTATAGGACAAATTCAGGGGTTATTAAAGTGGATTTGACGTAAATAACATCTCTACCAGTCAACTCTTAGAGAAAACTATGAACATAAATAAATCTTTGCTTTATTGAAAAGTCATCAGTTAACACAACATTTAAGAATGTCTTGTAAACAGCCCAAAAAATGTTTATTTAAAAGCGCTACAAGATAGTTTTAAACAAATCCGAAAGAACTCAACCTTTTTGCTGTCTCACTACAGTGATTATACTGACATATATTTTTAATATAAATCAAAGAAAATTTATTCCAGACTTAGATACGTAAATGACTATAACATAGTCTGCTACATATAAGCATGAAAACGAACCAAACATGTGCAAAATGTCTCCTATTAAAATTCTACCATATTCTACCATAATGGTAGATTTTATTTTCTACATAATAATTTTATGAGTACATGTTAAAACTTGAAGTTGTATTATTAATAAATAGAAATTGAAAGTTTCATTTCGTCGTTTTTCTTTCTTGTAATAAGTTAACATATGTTCTTTTACCCTATACTCCTCTTTGTTTGCCCGATGTAGGAGAGCCCATCACGGGATAAGGCCTAGTGGTCCGCGGACCTGCGATTAAGAACATTACCACGAACCATTATAGAATTTGAATAGTTTACGACTGCGAAATATCATTGTCAAATTTTGTATGGAAACTTGAACAGCAGCGGCACAAAGTACGTAACGCGAACTAAAAACCAGTACACATTTGACAATGGCATTTCGGACTCGCAAACCATTCGAAATCTATAATGGTTCGTGCTAGAGGAACTGTACCCCTAGCACGAACCATTATCGAATTCGAATAGTTTGCAAATCGAAATGTCAATGTCAAATTTTGTATGGAAACTTGAACAGCAGCGGCACAAAGTACGTAACGCGAACTAAAAATCAGACGCATTTGACAATGGCATTTCGCACTTGCAAACTATTCGAATTCGATATTGGTTCGTGCTAGGGGTGCTGGTCCAATGTCTGTCGTCACTGATACGTTACGATAGACGCTAAAGATTTCCCACACCAGCGATTATCGCGTTCATGCACGAAGTTGCGTGGCGATAAACGAGTGTGGGAGAAGCATAAATATGATTTTTTATGAATTTTGACACTGGTAACTATTTACAATAACGACGCCGGGGGTTCTCGCGTTTCGTGCAATTTGAGGATTTCACACCCGCTCCCCCTACGAGGAAACAAAAAGAAATGGGCGGTTATCAATACGTCGTTCAAAAAAATATAAATTTAAAAGCAAAAAGTATAAGTTGAAAGTAATGGAGTGAAATAAAACATTACATGATTTTTGAAAATAACGGATTGATAATTGATTAATAATAAGATTCACGTTTAAAAATACTTCTACTCTTAAAACTAATCTTGATAACTCAGCTTAGGCCCTAGGTTTTCTTAAAACCGGAATTATAGCTGAACTAGCAAACCAGTGAACCAAATGTTCACCAAAACCTGATTTAAAAAAAAAATTAATTAATTGAGA